CCCTCCAGTTCCATCCATGTCGTTGCAAATGGCAAGATCTCATTCCTTTTGATGCCCAGCCCAGCTTTTGATCTAGTTTTTGATCCATTCTGATTTCTGTGTACAGCCTGGATAAAGGGACATATATTGATAGTGCCCTAGACTCTCTGTGTCTTAACATTTATTATACTTTGTAATTACTCACTGTTTGTCTATTGCTGAGATAACACATGAGCTCTATAAAGGTAAGAGCAATGTCTGTTTACTCTTTTCCCTGCAAGCCTAGCATTATGCCTATTATAGGTACTCAATAAAAATTTGTTGAATGAGTGAATGCTTCCATAGAGATGCCATAGAGCAGAGATCTGCAAACTACCATCCATGGGCCAAATTCAGTCTGTCTTTATAAATAAAGTTTTATTGCAACACAGCTACATTCATTCATTTACATATCTCTGGTTGCTTATACACTACAATGGCAGAGTTGAGAAGTTGCAACAGAAATCATATGATCTGTAAAGCCTAAAATATTTACTATCTGGCCTTTTACAGAAGAAGTTTATCAACCCCTGACACAGAACACAGCCATATCCCTCTGGATTTTTATAAATTCCAATATTGATCAACATGGGATTAATTTAGAAGATCCAGGGAGAAACCCATGATAAAAGAGCGTTGGTGGGCCAGAAACTTTTAAACTAAGTCAAAAATAACTCAAACAATTGGCTCCTTGAATTATTTACAATGTCCTAAGAACAGGAAAGTGATTGAGAAGGAATTTGAAAATGTGGGCATCAAAAGTGATACTATTCACCTACCATCCTAATATTTAGATATGTTAGAACATTCATATCTTGGTTAAAGTCTCTCAAAGGTCAAAATACCATTTAATCTGGTATTTTATCCTCATCAAGGTTTGTTGGCTCATCTAAGGAGTGGGAACATCAGCAAAGGAATGAGTTTTATCTTCTTTGTCTCTGAATGCAATGCTGCTTAAAAGAAAACAAACATTCGCATCCTATCAATAAGCTAAGAGTTCTTAATGAGGACAAAACTTCAAAATGAAGGTATCCACAACAGCACAGTGGTTTCATTTCCCACCATTCATAGACTTTCATTGTGATACTGGTACAGCCTATGGGCTGGATGCATTGTGTTGCCATAAAATGAAAGAACTAGGACCAATGACCATGAGCTGAATGGTCAGGAGAGTGCCTTGCACGTGGCTCATATCAAGTGGCAGCCACAGCAGCAAGGACGGTACATTGCATGGGCATGGGCTATGCACACAGATCCTTGTAGCCCACAACCCCAAATTATAAACAATCTTAATAACACTATTACCCATTTCATCCCCAAATGCACTGGTACCTACTACTGATTATTTGGGGTAACATTGGATGAAAAACAATCCAAAAGGATGCCTGATTTAAAAGTGATTGCTAACATTCTCCTTCTCTTTCTGGATGGGCATCCACAGATGTTCTTTATCCCACCTGTGAGGGCCATGGCTGGACTTGACCCTGTACAAGGTCAAGTGGTAGAAAGGGCGTAATCTTTGTGAATATGACTGTTTCTAGTGAAGCATGGCTCAGCCACCTGTGCTCTGTGCTACTGGACAAGTCACTTCTCTAATTTCTTGTCCAAGGTCTTCTAAGGTCCACACTTATTCCAAAACTGTGTAATTCTGAGAGCAAAATCACAGCCCTTGCCATCCTGTCACTCTGCCAACCAAACCTTCTCAGTTACAGTGTCCTGTCTGTATTTGCATTTGGTGACATAGTAAAATCACCTCCTCCCAAGGTCTGCTCCTTGAGAAAAGATTGGAAAAGAAGGAGGTTTCCTCAGAACTTGGCATCAGCCCCAGTGTGGAAGCAGAGACACAGCCCCTGACCAGCCAAGGAAGAAGGGAGTTGGGAGGCAGGGGCTGGCCAAACCTTAGGAAGCATCACCTGGCCCTTCCCTAAAAACCCCAGCCTGATCTCTTCTGGTGTGTTGATGAGGAAAAGACCCAACCAAGTAAAGGGGTGTAGCCACTGACATGAGCTAAAACAAAGTTTTCCTAAGAGCTCTGAAGTCTGTGTCCTTAGCTGACAAATGAGGCAAATCTTAGTGATTAATTTTTCCCTCCAAGCACTTATTTCTGTCACTTATAAAATTCCTCAGCCTCAAAATTTGCTCATACTTATACGCAAAACTTATACTTATCCTCATACATATTCGTCAGCAATTCTTCCAGTCTTCCCCTTGAGAATACCTAAGTCCATCTGGGCAATAGGCAGTGTGATCTCTCATGCTATGTTTCCATGGAGGAAAAACAGAGGAAGATAAAAAGGAAATATTTCTTTAGATTTCTTTAATTTTCTTTAAATTTAAATTTCTTTAAATTTCCTCAAGCCCAGCCTCCTGACACTTTCTAGCCCATCTGGGTATCTGCTGGGCTCCGAGGATGTTGCCGTATTTTGGCAGCTACCCTGTATGGAGCAATCACTTGGATTTAATAATAGAAATCAAGCCATCTCACCTATTCTCCCTGATGTACCAATTCTGGTAATGGTAACATTACAGCACCAGGCATGGTGCAGTAATTTGATGAGTTCATGAAGCATAAGCATAATAGAAATAGAGGGAATGCCAATGCCATGCTGTTGAGAGAAAAGAGAAAGTCATTATACATCTTGCAAACTGGTACATGCACAGGACATATTTTCTTCCTTCATTACAAGTTAACAGCCCTCAGATAAATTTACATAATCATTATGACTTTGCCAAAGCTGAGGAAAACGTAAGTCAGCTCTAACTGACGCCTACCTGACATGCTGATAGATGTGTCCATCTGTGAGGATCAGACAGAGACATCTCCCTGCCAGTTACACGGAGTTCAGCCCTCATTGTCAAGAGCAGAATGTGGGGATGGCATGGTGTACTGGTGTGTCAGGACATGGCCATTTCTCATCGCCCTGCTGGGCTCTTTACAGTGAGCCTTTGAAAAAGAGCTTTTTGCAAGATTGACTTGTTTCTGAGGAGATATAAATTTGGCTGCCATGCAATTAGTCCTCTTCCACCATACTAAATGAAATAATAAATCCATTTCATTGTGCTCATGTGGCCTTGTTCATTCGCTAATTCAGTGTGAGCTCTGAAAGGTATGAGGTAGAGGTGTGGGCTACATCCACATCTGACCATTCAGAGCATAGGTGAGGCTATGTTGCTATACTTTATGACTATAACCCCTATTTTCCTCAGCATTTGCTACAATAAAATCAGTATCACCAGAATAGGGGTCAATATAGTTTAGAGGATTTAGTAACTCCTGGGAGTTACAATATGTTCTAATAACTCTCCAGAAAGATCCTCTGTGCTGGAATTTGTAGGAGCTGAAACTGAGTTTTGAATCAGTGGCTATTTCATTCCTAACATAACATTAGAGGGTCAAATGTATTCTTCAATGTGTTCTCCTCTTGGACAAAGGACTTTGCATGACGAAAAGTACCAGGGGCATCTTGGCAATTAGGTGATGTCTGCCACTAATTGTCTCACTAACAAATCTGGAAAACCTTTGTAACCATGACCGTGATGTGCTCAGCTGAGTTCTCTCCCTTTCACCATCAAGAATATTAAACTATGGAAAGTTTGAAGCTCTGGGTTCCCCATTTTGGTTCCCATTGAACATGTCCTGACTTCCAAATGCATTGTAAGCCTCCTGGAGACATGAATCAAACCTGTATTAATTTGTATGTCCAAGACTAACAAGTCTGGGCTTTGGCACTGGCTCTGTCACTAATGAGTAGACTCTCTAAATCTCATTTTCCTCAACTATAAATTAAGAGAATGAACTATTATTTGATCTATTACGTTCCTTCTAAATCAGATATTTGATAGGTTTATGATTATCACTTATTATGCAACATGATGATAAAATGACAAATGGGCTTATATATTCCTGCAAAATCTCTCTCTCTCTTTCACACACACACACACACACACACACACACACACACACACTCAGCAGCTCCTGGAGAGAAAGAATTTTTAAAGAAGGGGTCCCAATTGGAAATCTCTGTTTGCCTAGTGAGGGCTGCTCTTAATTAGCTGACCCCTGGACATGATACATATTTCAGGCCTTTTCCCTGCCAGGACAGCAGGGTCAGTCTAGTGCTATTTTTATTTCTTACTCTGAAGTCTTACTGCTTGTTTATGATAGTTTCGTATTTATATAAACGTTACCTTTTTTGTCCTTACCCATTTACTGTGTAAAAAAGAACAGTTGTAGTCTAAAAGTCAAGTGAAGATTAGTAAAACAAAATTTGCCAAGATCGGAGAATACTCAGCTTCCTTCCAATGTAGACATTCTATAATAGTTGAATGAACAGATGACTAAATAAATGGATTCCCCCATCTGAGCCCCAAAAGCAGGTGTGAGGCCTTCTTGGCCCAGAGGGGAGATAACTTAGGTGCCCAGCTGGTGTTACATAATCTTCCCTTCTTTACCCCAGGCTTCCAGCCACGTTCATCCATCCTTCCATCACCAGGTACTATCAGGTGATTGACGGATGAGGGCTATTCTCTGGTGTAGGAGCCACAGGTAGGTCCGCTCCTTAGAAGTGTTACACATCTGCAGTGGACTCTTCCCCGGTCCTCTGGCATGCCTGGCTGTGCCCTTTAGGAGGGCTGCAGCGTCCAGACACATGACAGATATAGAGCTATTGTTTCGGAATACAGCCCTGTGGCAGAGAGACAGACTTAGAAAGGCCAGCTGGGTGCTCACACGAATACACTCTCCTTACGGGGATGCTCCCCTGCGTCCAAGAGGGAAATGGTCTCTGTGTTCCCTAAAATTGCAAATCATTCCGCTTTTATTTTGTCTTAGGACACCATGTGTGTCCAGAGCTGTTAACATAGTCCGAATACAGAGAGCAGTTCATAAGAGCTTGTGGAAATGCATTAGCAGCTTTTCAGCGAGCTGAGTATAGTGTTAAACAGCATGCTTTGACAATTCTGAAAATTGGCCCATGTGTACAAAAAGCTCAACATTCCCAAAGCTGGATAAGGGGTAGAGGAGAGAAAATTGTTGGTGGCTTAATCAGTTATAATCTAAAGAGAGGAGGTGTGCTTTGAAGGCTTTTCCCCCCTAACTTGAATAGCTAAGTGGTAGCTAATAAACTAAAGTGACACCGAATGCCATGTTCTGCCCCTAGGGCTTTTTCCAACAGCGAATGCCACACCTAGGCACTTAATTTAATTGTGTGGAAATGCAAAGCAGGTGAGGAGAAAGAACTCCTGTATTCAGAATCTCCCACCTTTTTCTGCCAGCTTGTGATGAGTACCTGAAGGGCAACCATTGAGTACTTAGACCAATGGAGGACACAAGATCAGTTTTGTGCATGCAGTATCTGTCTGTCCCAGCTCAGACATCCTTCATGTCCTCTCTACTGTCCTCCAATCCCAGCTCCTTGTGTATAAACACTGCAAACTCTTTCATTGTGTTGGGGCTCCCACCAACGCAGACAAATTGTTAATAAAAATAAACAATTGCCTGCCTTATAACTGGGATAAGAACCAAGGGTCAGCTTTCAACTTTAATGTTTTTATTTTATTTTTTCTGTACTTTACCTAAGAGTATGTATAGATGCTATGGGTTATGTTCATGAGTTAGCTAATTTGCATCATTGACCTGTAAATAAGGCAACCAGAAGCAAAGTTTGATGTACTTAATTAGTAAAGAAAAAGATAATCACAAAATCAAAGTAGGTGTTGATTTTGTTCAAATAGGTGTTTCCCGGCATTTCTGTTTACAGTGAACATCAGCCAGCCTCTTGGGTTGGTACAGACAACTCATTTGGGCACATTAGCAGGCCATATGCTTACCATGGACATGGAATATAAGTAACATAAGGAAAAAAGTACTCTGAGTTTTAGATATGTCTTCTCATTCCACAATCCCAAACATTAGTTTTCATTGTAAAATGTGCTACGTTAACTTAAAGCTTTAAAGAAATCACATCAAGACTCTCCAACTTCTCTTTCAGAAGAAATTCTCGTGGAATAAGCCTTATCGCATAGCCTGGAAATTTCACCATGCTATTTCATCAATTCCAATGATTTCTTTTTGTTTTGTTCCCATTTTAACATCTCTGAAATTATCATAGGTGTTGCAGTCAAGGGTGTCAAATCTAATAAAATGTGGTAATAAAACTGTCTATAGTTGGTTGTGTAACAGCCTATCAGGGGCACACCCGCCTCGGGGATGGGTGAGGTGGAGACCAGAGGGAGGATGGCAACAGCCTAACAGCATGGGTAGCCTGGTGAGCACCAGGAGGCAGGAGCAATGTCAGAGACCCAAGGAAGTGCAGCCCATAGAAGAGCACCAGGAGCAAAGTCATTTGGAAATCTAAGCTAATCCCTGCTCAGCGGGAAGCCTGCTTCTCCCTCTCCCATTCCCTCTGCTTGTGTTCCCTCTCTCACTGTGTCTCTCTGTCAAATAAATAAATAAAATCTTAAAAAAAAAAAAAGCCTTAAAAAAATAAAAAAGGAAATCTAAGCTAAGCAGTGAGGAGCACAGAGTCTGAAGAAGGTCCAAGAGAGAGATAAGGCAACAAATGTAGTGTTTAAGGGCCTGCCCAACCCTATGTCTTGATTAAGTGACTTGCTTAGTGTTACACACATAATCTCTATGTGCCTCAGATCATCGCCTCCAAGATAGAAAAAATGCAGAACCCTTCGGAGGGTTTGGTAAGGATAAAATGGGATCAAATATGGAGGAGGACATTGTACAAACAGGTGACTTCTGAGTGTTCAACAAATGACAACTACTATTTTTCATATCATGTAGCAATTTTCTGGCCTTGCTTTTGAGCTTGCTTATTGTTTCTGTATTTGCAGAACTTAGTACAAATGAACCTGGTTCAAATCCAGTAAGGAAAAGGCAGTTGGTGGTGCTTAACTGATGTGGGCAACATTAGGCAGAGGATCAGAAGGATTGATGGCGAGCTTCCTTCCAGCAATGAAGAATATCTGTCCAGGGAAATATCCAACTGAGGTTATGGAGTAGGCACCCCCATTCACAAATGATTTACTAGGACTATTGGGTGGTCTGATTACACGATGCATTCTGTTTCCATTTAACAGTAATTCCTGTTCCACACTCATTTTCAACTATAGGATGTAATTATCCTTTTATCCAGGGTCTCTGCTTCTCTTCTACCCTCATTATTGTCTTTTCTGTGCTCTCTTATGGGTTTCTCTGATGGGCCTAAGGTTGGTAATGAACTGCAATGCAAGTTAGCCATAAAGGCTGGGTAGCGAAGAGGGTAAGACTGTGGTCTAAGGTGAGTTCTTAAGTTATTACTGGTAATTCATGACATTTTTCCCTCGGTTGGTATGGATAGTTAGGACTTGGCTCAACATCTAAGTACAAAGAGGTCATTTTTGTTGTTGTTTTCTTTTTACAAAATACAGTAGTTTGAAAATAACCGCATTGTGTGGTGCCACTGAATGTAAATTACAACTATTCAGATTGACCATAAAACCAAAACAGATGTTAGAATAGCTTGCAGTTTGAATTCTTCTTTGAACTATAGATACTGCTGTAATCAACAAGAATTTCTGAATGTTTCTGGAGACACAAAGATAATATGTATAGACAGAAACATTTTCATTCTTGAGGACTTACTCCTAACTCAGACTTACTAAATATCACCTCTAGACACAATTTTCAGTCTGGCTGCTTTAATGAGAAGTAAAATATGGCTGAAGACCACCAACCAACATTGACCTTAAGTGGCACTTTCTGTGATTTATGTCCCAAACAAAATTCTCATTTTCCCTGGTTTTATCAAAGAAGATAGAAATGCATTGGGAAGGAGTCTTTCTAAAGAATTAGAAAAATATGCTATGGACTTTGACAATGACTGCCAGAATGAACTCATTTTCAAATATATCCAGTGTCTTAAAGGACTTAACTTTGCCATGTTGTCCATGTTGCATTAATCTGGTCCTATTTCTAGTCAGTTTGATAAAAACTGATTAGCTGTTCACCACAGCTGTTTTCCTTCTTTGGAGGCACACAACTCAATTCAACTTTCCAGGCTCCTTTCCAGATGGATGAAGCCATATGCCTGAATTTCAGCAACTCGAATGTGAACAAATTTGATGGGTGCCACTTCCAGTCCTAGCCTATAGAAATCTCCCATTGGTGCTCCAATAAAATGCCTTCTTCTATCTGCTGGATGGGCATTGACATCCAGAGAAACTTCATAAGCCACTCCTTAAAGATGATAGAACAACAAGATGGAAGGAGCCTGGGTCCCTGAATCACCGGTTGGAGGAAAGCCACCAGGAACATTCACTTTGTACTCAATGTGAGTAAGAAATAAACTTATACTGTATTAAGCAACTAATATTTTTCAGCAGCAGCTAGCAACTAGTAAGCAAGGAAATGAAGGAAATAAAAATGATTATCAGAATCTTTAAGGTTTAAATTTTACACACCCAGAGTTCTCCTTTCCTTTGTAGATAATACTATTAATAATGATTTTCATCTCTATGAAGACAGGCTGAATTTTCAGGTACTGATGGATTTTATCCTCTCTTCTTAGCTAGAATTGTGCCCTGGGATGTGAGGGAGTCAAGACATTGACTAGCATGCTCTCATTCAAAGGTAAAAATGTGGCTGGAAGAAGGCAAGTTTCTGAGAAAAGCTTCTATATGTGTAAAACAGACTTTGCCAGCTATCTCTAAAGAATCCTGCTCTAGGCTAGACCGCCAGTTCTGATCATGTGGAACTACATTACCTGCTCCCCAATTCACACACCACATGTGCACACACACACACATGCACACGCACACGTGCATACACTTCTGCCTCCTATCCATCAAAATGGCCCAATCAATAAGAGTTGTTCTCTGGTGAAAAGACCTAGGTTCTAAACCAGAGCATGTTTTTATTTTTATTTTTGTTTTATCCAAAAGAGAATCTACAGAAGAGGTCCATAACCAAGTAGGCGTGAGTTTATAAGGTTGGATAGTGGTTATGACAGACAGAGTGTGAGAATAAGTGCTAATGAAAATCTATTTGGGTAGAAAGGTAAAGGCCTGATTCCTGGAATTGTAACATAGATGAGACAACTGTGTGTGTGTGTGTGTGTGTGTGTGTGTGTGAGAGAGAGAGAGAGGGAGAGAGAGGTGTGAATATCATAATTTTCATGTCTAAGACAAAACTTTCTATCCCAATGATTTCCCAGAAACCAACCTTTAGAATACCAAAGTGTAGTACTTTTTTCTTTCAAATAGAGAAAGAGCCATTACTTTTTTCATCAGAGAAACTTAAGATTTAATCCCACCTTTCCCCTTACCAGTTGTGTTATGCCTATTACAGGTGCCCTTGGAGAGATGGGAGGAGAGGAAGCAATTTAGCACCTACCAGTAATGAACATCGCAGATTTATTTCTTCTTCCTCCCTCCCTTCCTTCTTTACTTCTTCTTCCTTCATCTTCTTTTCTTCTCCTTCTTTTTCTTCCTCTAGCTAACCTCTTCCTCTTCTTCCTCCCTTTCTTCAATACCTGCTCCCATTTATGGACTATTCTCAGTTACTATGACTCAAAGAGTGCACCTAGTGTAGTGGGCAAGAAGCCTGGAAATGGGACTTGGAGGAACTTGGTCCAAGTCCTAGCTTTGCCCCTATATGGTGTAACTTATTTACCTCCTTTAACCTTTCAGAACAATTACCTTTTTTATGGAGGAAATTAATATCTGCTAAATCCACCTACAAGATCTCATGTGAAGATTTAGCAAGGTAGTGAATGTAAGAGCATTGACTTTTGCTCCTTTCACTGCTAAAGAAGTGAATACAAGTCAGATGAACACTGCACAATTCTCACAGATAGTTCTCACACAATCCTCATGTGTGTGAGCACAGCATAACCCATAGACTTGTTGAAACCTGATGTTGTACTACACTTGAAACTAATGTACACTGTGTGTCAACTACACTTCAATCAACAAAAAATAAATAAAAATAATAGCAATAAGAGAAAAGAGAAAAAAAGAAAACCATATAACTTGCAGGACCATGAACAGGGGCAGACCTTTTGGAAAACAGAAGTTCTTTAAAAAGTTTATTCTCTTGACCATTTCCGTGAATCATCCTAAGTAATGTGAAAAATCTTTAGGTACAAAAATATTCATCTAAGCACTGCTTATAATAGAAAATACTTCAACATAAAAGTCAACAATGGACTAGAGAATGGATGGCACAGCCACTTGACATCCATATGCAACGTGTTTCAAAGAAAATGTCGTAATATGGGGAAATGTTAATGACAGAAAATTAAGTGAAAAATGCAGAATACAAAGTTATATAATTCCAACTATTTTAAAGTCTATTTATTAAAAAGGATTGGAAGAAAAGAAAATAAATTGATGGTGTCTGTGTTTAGATAGTAGGGTTTTTTTTTAGGTGTATTTTGTTCTTTTTTGTATTTTCTCAATTTTAAATAATGAACATGAGTTGCT